CTGGTCTGATAGAGATTAATGAACCTCCAAGCCTATGGCCCTTAGACACACTTCAAGCGTGGGATTGAACTCACCTTCATGGCTCAACTTTTAGCCTGACAATTGTTGTTATGTGCCATCGAGTCGGCCTCAACTCAGTGACCTCTCCTTGGATTTCCGAGGCAGTATTACAACAGAAGTAGGATTGTCCAACCTTCCTTCTGAGGAGTGGCTGGTGGGTTTGAACTGCTAGCCTTCTGGTTAGCAGTCAAGTGCCTTAGGCACTATGCTATCAGAGCTCCTAGTCAGATGATAGGCCTCTAAGGTGAACAATAACACCAGGGAGGTATGCACTTATCAGAAAAATCAATCATATGGTGATATCAAATGGGCAGCTTTTTCCCAGTGACAAAACTCAGAAGACAGTAAAAGGTAGCAAAGAATTAATGGAAACAGGACACACAGGTAGGAAGTGGAAAGAGTGCTATTACATTTTTGGAATTGCAATGAATGTCACAAAACAAAAAAACATATGCATGAATCGTTTAATGGAAAACCAATTTGCTCTGTAAATTTTTACCTGAATCACAATAAAAAATATAATACAATTTTTTTAAAGCTAATTATTTGAAAAGAGCAACAATATTGACAAATACATAGATAGAAAAGGAAATATATTTCAATAAGTAGTGATGGATCAACTATATATATATGTTGTACAATAATGAACATTGACCTCATGAAAATTAATTTAAGATGAATTACAGTCCTTTAAGGAAAACTGAACTTATGAAATATTGAAAGGAAAGAAGAAAACAAAAACTTTGTGGCCTTATGTAATGATTTCTTTGATAAAACATAAACAGTATGAAATATTAAAGGAAAATTGGATCATTGAACTTCAGCAAAATTAAATAGTTTGGTCTTCAAAAATCCACATTAACAAAAGGATAAGTGTTTATTCCAGAAAAAAAAAAAAAAAAAGAAAATATTTCAGTGCAATGTTAAAAATGTTCACAACTTTTTTTCTTCAAACTAGTTGAAAATTGCAAACTTGGAAATATTAATTGGTAGGTAACTAGGAAAACTGTTACATCCATAGAATAAAATTTTACTCAGCAATAAACAGGAACAAATCATTGATTGACATAATGTCTATAAATACTGAAATCATTATGGTGACTAAAAGACTCAGCAAAAAATACTAATACTATATGACTCCAAGTATATGGAACTCTAGGAATTACAAGTAAAATTACAGTGATAGAAATTAGACAAATGGTTGTCCAGAGATAAAGGTGAAAGAATGAATGGGTTACAAAGAGGCTTAGGGAAACTTTTGGGGATAATAGAATTGATTATCTTGATGTTTGTTATAAGTTTGTAGGTGTATGTCAAAATGATCATATTTTATAATTTATATATAAGCTATGTATTGTACTTAAATTTTACTTCAATAAAGCTATAAAAATAGAGAATGTTTACTTTTCTAATGATTTAATTTGTAGTAGAAGACATTTAGATATTTATTTTAAAAAGTGAAAATATGATTGAATGTTATAAAAGCCATCAGCTCAATTTCTACAAATTTCTATTATTTTGAAAAAATAATAAATGTTCAGTGAAAAAAAAAATTAAACAACAGTGTAATAATGGAAAAAAATTCATTTTGTTTTCCAGACACATTTACCTAGTTAGCCTATAATAAGCATGGCAATAACAAATATTTCAGAGGATGTAGTAGAATTCTGAAAACATTCTTTGAAAAATAAAATCTTTTAGCATTTCTAAACAAGAGATACTATGCAATTTTCTGGTGAGTTTTAGTCTAAACATCTACATTAGAAACATTAAACAGGCTGAGTAAACCAATATTTATCCCTCTAAAGCAATAGAGGAACGTGTCTGTGATTAAAAGACACTTGTACTTTGTTAGCAATCAGCGTGTGAAAATCAGGTATTTCAAGTGCTTTATTTTGTATTCATGTTATTAAGAGATCACAAAACAAATCTATACTGCCATATTGCAATCCTCTGTTTGTCCTATTATTTTTTTTTACGTAGCTGCAATGAATGATAACAAAAAATAACAATAATGATATAAGCATTGCATATTATCTTGACACTTCTATCACTTTAAAATTTGTATTAATGTTGAAGCTTTATTTAAATTTGTCAACCAGTGTCCTTACTCTGCAATTTGTAAGAATATGAACATTCCATATTAATGAATAAGCAGGAAATTTAACCTAGTATTTTTTTAAAACTATTTTCAATTAAGTTTTAGAATGTAAACATATAGATAGAAACTTATCTATTATTTATTATAAATAAATAATTATAAAGTTTTTATTTATTTCATACTGGAGCACATATTAGGCATGGATGGTATTTCAGAAGTTAAAAAGATGCAGGATAGCTTGGATGAGTATGGATGCACTTGAGTAAAAATATAATTAAATCTAAAAATTGAGGTGCCTCTGATATTTTATAAGGAACAATACTGATTTCCTCGGGATGAAGGTCACATAATTAATGCTGATCTTAACCAAATAACAATACAACCAAACCAAATGCCAGGAAGTTGATCCTGACTCACAGTGACTCTATAAGACAGAGCAGAACTGCCCCATAGGATTTCCAAGGCTGTAAACTTGAGGGAGGGAGCTTTGATAGCATAGTGCCTAAGGCACTTGACTGCTAACCAGAAGGCTGGCGGTTCAAACCCACTAGCCACTCTTCGGAAGGAAGATGAGGCAATCTACTTCCGTAGTGATATGGCCTCAGAAACCCAAAGAGGGGTCGCTACCAGTCAAGTCCGACTCGCACACAACAACAACAACAAACTTGAGGGCAGCCAAATCTTTCTCTCCTTAAGGGCTGGTGGATTTTAACCATCCCCTACAGGTTAGCAGCTGAGTGTTAACAAATGTGCCAGTAGGGTTCCTTTTAATGCTGATCCTAAGGCTGGTATATTTTAGCCTCTTTTTGCCTTGTATCAGCCCAATCTGCCTTATGTTTTGGAAATATCATCAATGCTCATTCTTATGAGCCCCACTTTTTTGAGTATTTACATCAAAGATTTAGTGATATTACCATGACATCTCAAGTAAATTTTTAAAATCTCTGAAAATGAAAAGAAACAAAACTAAACAGTCTTAGTTTCCGAAAATATTTCAGAGCTATTCTGAAAACTTCCCTTTCAAAATGGTTGGTAGTTCTAGTATAAATCATGTTGAATTGTAAATTATGTTTTGGCACACTTAGGTCTTCTTTGATTTAAAAAAACAAAAACAAAAACAAAAACTCACAGCTGTCGAGTTGATTGCAACTCATAGTGACCTCTCCCTCAGTTTCCAGGCGGTATCTCTATGGAGGCAGATTTCCCAATTTTCCTTCGGAGGAATGGTTGGTGGGTTTGAACCGCCAGCCTTCTGGTGAGCAGTCAAATGCCTTAGGCACTATGCTACAAGAGCTCCCTTCTTTCATTTATCTCCACAAAAAAATAAATAAATGAAATAAAAGAAAAGAAAATTATATAAATTTTGGTTTAAAAATAGCAAATTTAGATTCAATATATAAACAAATTTGTTGAAAATTTGAGAATTAGTTTACTATTTGCAAAAAAAAGTCATGAAAAATAAATATGCGCACATGATAGTGGAAAATAGTATTACAGTAAAAACATTAAATACTTTATCTCCAAAACTTCTTTCTGTATTCTGAATAATATTTTTTTTTCACAAGTGAGATGGTAGTGAAACAACTTTTCTGAAAGTTGATTAATGGTAGTAAATAAAACATGGAATTTGTTAAAGCATCAAAGGGGCTTTTACACTTAAACATGTATCCTTTTTTTTTTTTTTAAGTAGAATTGTTGAATTGGTCATTCTTTGAATATCTTGATAAGCACAGTTCATTAATTGTATGGGCTACTTAAGTCTGTTCTTAAGAAAACATTTCCTTTCCAGAGGTATTCTCTATAAAAAAATATCTCTTATCTCACAGTCACCATCATATTCTGTCATTATAAGTTTACTAGAAATTTTCTAATAGTAACATTTTGTAGTTAAGTTTATCTTTTACAATCCCACTAAGACAACTATGATTTAGCTATCTAAAAGAGCCTCCAATGTTTTTGATTCTTCAATATATATTTAAAATTATGTAAAATTGTCTTCATTTGTGATTACAGTGTATATACAAAATTATTTTATAATTTTAAACAATATCTTAAGGGAGATGGTGAATGGTTCATTTACATTAGCTCTCACACTTCCTAAATTGCAGTTATAAAAATCATTTTATTAATTTTAACAACCCTCCTTCTAGTCTTTTCTTCCAGAAAATAAATACTATTTGATGAAATGTAAGTGTTGATATATTTCACTGTATTTAAAACAATATTTCATGTCTTTTGTTGTTGTTGTTATGTGCCATCGAGTTGGGCCCGACTCATAGCGAACCCTCCTTTGTTTCCGAGGCAGTATCACTACAGAAGTAGATTGCCCAACCTTCTTTCAGAGGAGTGCTGGTGGGTTTGAATCTCCTGCCTTCTGGTTAGCAGTCAAGTGCCTTAGGCACTATGTTACTAGAGTCTTAGAAGTGTATAAAGTATTTCATCAAAACAACTTGAATAAGCAATGAAGACACACTACATTTCCAAGACATGAGCATAAATATTAGAATGAAGTAGGGGAAAAATCTAAAGGGATGTTAACTAATTGGTAGTAATGAACACAGTTCAGCCGAAATTGTGTTTTGTGTTAAACATTGCAAAAAAAAGTCACAAATTTTAGGATAGCAATAACAAGGCCCTTAAACATCTAACAGTGAAATGTCCCATAATATCCACTAGGTGTCTCTAATAACTGACTATCAAATACTATATTCATTTTAAGGTTATGCATTAAATATCAAAACATGAATTTCATATTCATTTTTATTTTACTGCAAAAAATTCCTATTTCTCATAGTAGCAAAAGCTGTTTTAATAAATATACAAAATGAAAATAACTTACATTCAATATCAAGGTACATGCTTTTTTGGTGACCTCCAATTCTACTTGCAGCTTCACAGTCATATCTCCCTGAATCTGACAACTTCACATCTTTAATGTGCAGTGACGAGCTTCCATGCTGCCCTTTGACTTCGATACGGCCATCTGTGCTCTGTTTACATTGATTCAGGAAAAAGAAGGATTTTATGCTTGTTTAGTGAAAAACTACAACCAAGTATACAGTGCTTATAAAATACACAGTAAATGAAAATAAATTCTTACTTGAATAACAAAAAAATATTTTTCAAAATTATTCTTTCTGAATTTATGATTCACTGTTTTTTGCTTATTCATTTTTCTTCCTGATAATTTCCATTTGATTATAAGAAAACTGACATGGAGGAAATAAACACGTTTCATTAAACTTTTTTATTTAGTAGCCTTTTTTTTTTTTTAAGAAAAGCTTGAATGTTCTTTTTGGAACGATTTTGTTTGCCTCCGATTATGTGTCTCACAGACATAATTAACCACCAAAGCCAACCAAATTCACTGCCACTGAGTCAATTCTGACTCATAGTGAACCCTTTTGGGTTTCTGAGGCAGTAAATCTTTACTGAAGTAGATTGCCCAGTCTTCCTTCCACGGAGTGGCTAGTGGGTGTTAACCCCAACCTACAGGTAACAGTCAAATGCCATAGACACTACACCACCAGTAATGCCTATTCAATTCTGCTTCTTGTTGTTGTTATGCGAGTTGGACCCGACTCATAGCGACCCCTCCTTGGGTTTCCAAGGCAGTATCACTACGGAAGTAGATTGCCCCATCTTCCTTCCGAGGAGTGGCTGGTGGGTTTGAACCGCCAGCCTTCTGGTTAGCAGTCAAGTGCCTTAGGCACTTCTGCTTAAAGCCTATCAATGAACATATTACTCCTACAGTTTAGTTTCATATTTCACCATTTAGAAAAACAAGTATCAATATTTATAACAAATAATCCCTTAAGAGGCACTTATAAGTTTCATGTTTTAATGAATTCAACAGCATTTACCATAAGCATAATTTGTATTATAGGCACAACAGATATATTATTAATTATGCAGAAGGAACAATTTAAATCATTCTAAGAAGATAATGAAGACAATATGGAAATGAGTAATCACTTAGTCCAGATATACTGACTCAAATAAACAAATTGCTTATAAACCAATAGTCTATAAGTTATATTTCAAATGGAAATTTTTATATGTAACAGTATTAATATACCTAGACTTGTTTTCTTAAAATCACACAAATTGCTTTACAGCACATATATTAAAACATACAAACATAGAGAATTTATTAAATTTTAAGTTGACAATCTAAATATTAATGAACTTTTGGCATTTTATAATTCATTTGAAACATTTACTTAGTTATTGTTGGCTTGATTTTCTTCAATATTTGAAGTATTGGTACATCAATGAAGTATTTTATATTATATAGGTATTTTATTTTTTTTAATAATGAAATCCTCATTTTAATTTTTATATGACTAGCATTCACAGAAATTTAAAAATACTTTGGTTATTTACATTTTTAAATTTAGTGTTTAATTTTAATTATCAAGTCGGTTTCCTTTATTCGTATCAAAAACTACTTAAAATCTCTCTTTCAAACTTGAAGTTGATTGTGACAGACTATAATCACTCTTGCTTTTTTTAATTATATAAGTAATACAATGATTATGTAAGAACCTGAACACTCAAATGATTAACTATCAGAAAAATAGACTTAAAAAAAATAAACAATAACTTAGTTAGAATATATTATGCATCGCAGATAAGGAATTTTTGGCCCAAAATACACACCCCAACAACTTCCAAGTATTGCTAAAATAATAGTAAGTTGAGAAAGGGCATTTTCTTTGCCAGTTTTTAATATGTTCAGCTGCCAAACTCACTTACTTGGTTGACATAAAAACATATGAACAAAAATTCACAAAAGTGAAATCAGAATATGAAAACCCAGAAAGCAAGAGAGCCAAGTTAAACACTTTTTCTTTTCTTTTTTTTTTTTTACACGGGTACTCTGGTCTGTACCTCACTGTAAATCTATGCAGAATTTGGCCCTATTCGATTTTCCTTCCTAGTTTTTGTACTGACTTCCCTTGGTTTTCATGACATCTGCACTCTCCTAGTTTTTCTTCCAGTTTCACCTTTCTGACCACACTTTAGTTTCCGTTGCAGATTTTTTTTTGTTATAATGTAAACTAGTATGCTCTCCAGGACCTCCATATGGTGGTGTTGTCTTTTTAGACAATATACGGGACTTGGGCAATGTCAGCCTCACTCACATTTAAGTTAATGTTTAATCACTCGTTCTCTAGCCCAGATCTATCTTACCCTGGAGTTTCATAACCAGATAATTTATTTCTAGGCCATATCAACTTAATATATACTCTATAGCCCATCACCCAATCAGAAAACCTAATGTGCTCTTCCCTAGTTGTCTATTTTTGCATGAAACATGCCAATCATTTTCCTTGTCCTATAATATAGCATGTCCTCAGTCTTGATCAGTTTCTGAACCAATCTACCCTTCTTCTTTCTTTCTTTCCTTCCTCCTTCCCTTTCTGTCTCCCTCCCTTCTTCTTCCCTCTCACCTTTTCTTCTTCCTTCCATCTTTTATTTATTTTCTGCATGCTGATGATTCTCAGTCTATCATCTTGTTCAACATTATTTTTGATTGTAAGCAACTGTGTTTCTGAAGAGCTGACTAGTATTCCTATATATAGTATCAAGTTGTGTTGCTGGGTATGAAGGATATTGACAGGCCACTCTGAATTCCACAGAGAAAAAACATAGTTCTTGGCTGTTGGTGACCAACAAAGACTCCCTGACTACAAAAGTCATGAAATATAAATTGTTTTCTATGGTCCTGCTGCAGAAATCATTGATGCTGCCAAAATTATTTCTTGGGTGGTAATAAGTTTTATTCTAAATGTAAATTCTTAATTATCCTAACAACTATGAAAGTGTTACACTTCCATTGTCCTATAATTATAAATAACATTATATTGCTTCCAACACAATTGATGTTATATCTCCATCTGATGTGCAAGTGCCACTACATGACATCAAATTTCTCTCCAAGAATATTTTCTACTTTGTATTTCAAATAATTTGAATTACTTGCAGTATTACGAATATTCTATCTTTCCATAAACACACTTCATAAAGATTGTTCAAATCATTCCCCTTTTCCTTCTTCCATATTGATGTGGCACGAGTCTACCATCTATCCCTTAACTTCCTGTCCAAATATCAATATTTCTTCAGTACATTCTGTGATTTCTTAAAGATATAATTATGCCTCAGAACTCTGTTATTTTTTCTGGGAAACATTAGTAAATTCTTTTTAGAACTTCAGATTTTATCCTGTAGGGTGATATTTTAGTGAATGAATGTGAGAAAATTCTTATGGTACTTATTTTTAAAGTCACCTGGAATAGTATCTAGGCATAACTTACTAAATTCTATCATTTTTATAAAGTATATTAAGTTATAGTAAAATTTATATGTGGGTAGATAATACAATTTATTCCTTTAGCTATTAATCACCAGTTACTCTTGAGTCAATTCTGAATCAAGGCGATCCCCTGTGTTACAGAAACGAACTACTCCATCAGGTTTTCATGGCAGAAATCTTTATGGAAGATCACCAGATCTTTCCTCAATGGCACCACTGGGTGGGTGTGCACCACCTGACTTTGGATTAGCATTCTAGTATAAACTGTTGACACCACTCAGGGGTTACAACTTGCATTTAATTACTTTTATTTTTCCATAAAGAGATATATTGTTATTTTACAATGTAAGGTCATAATTGCCTTTCTTTGTAGGATCTTTTTTATTGCCTCCTATAAAATGGTAGTTTTTTAAAATGGTGAAAAACATCAGCTAATATAGAATTACCATGACATAAGAGATGTTGATATTTAAATGTTATTATTAATGGTTCTGAAATTATTCACAAGAATTTTGCAAATAACATTAATTTTGGGAAAGTTTGTGATTCCATGGGTAATTATAAATCAGACTTAGCATTGTCTCTGCAAAAATGTACATGGAATTTAACTGAAATACAGGAGGAGACCAAAGTTGTTCCTTTTAATATCTGACATTCCAAAGGACATCTCTCACTTTGTGCTACAAAAGGCATTACACATATCTGAAAGAAAATTCATTTATGTCTTGGCTTTGATTCAATACCTACCGAAGATTCATTTAAAACATCTGATATTTGATTGAGACAGGTTAATGGACATATTAGCTGTCTGTCTAGAATTTTCAGGTTTTATCATTACATTGAATAAAATGATTAGAAAGCCAAGTGTCTGTAATTTATTATTCCAGTCCTCTCGAGAAATGCAAGTTCTGAAATTGGAATTGATGTTATACACTTTGCCTTTCTAGGAGGTCAGTTTAAAATTTTCTCATTTGAATAGTATTTAAATATCTTTATAAAATGATTATTTATAGAAATCCTTTACTGTCTTTTCAAGAACACATTAATAAAATATCTATGTGATAAGTACATTCTTAAGTTTAGCTTCAACATGAAAATTTTGTTGTCAATTTTAACTTTTAATCTTTAACAATTAAATTTTAACAATTAAACAATATTAACAATTAAAATTGCATAATATGTCATATTGATATGCATTGTTTTGAGATCTTACTTGACTTAACACTTATTGTCAAAAAGAATCTAAATACAGTAAACAATGCTTCAAAAATGGCCAGCATTCCCTATCTTTCTTGTTCTTTGCCCATGTGTCATTGAGAATTTAGCCATGGGCCACTATGATCTTCAAAGGAGAACAGAGGATCATGCCACTGTGTCACCTATTTATTTATTTTTATATTCATTCTATGATAAGCAGAAAGGAACTAGGAATACAATAAAAACAAAACAAAACAAAACAAACTCACTGCCATCAAGTCAGATCTGACTCATAGCAACCCCTCCTTGGGTTTCTGAGGCAGTATCAATCAATACAGAAGTAGATTGCCCAACCTTCCTTCCAAGGAGTGGCTGGTGGGTTTGAACTGCCTGCCTTCTGGTTAGCAGTCAAGTGTCTTAGGCACTACGCCACACACAGTACTGAGCAAAAATAGACTACTTTCTACCCTT